ATTCTGATAAATCAGATTTTCTGTTTATTGGAGGATTCTTTTGTTTTTGAAAAATATTTATTATATTGTATATACAAAACACAACTGATCATTGATTGAACAATGGGTACTGTTCTGAATTGAGGGTTATTATCTGAATATGAGTTATAATTGTTTTATAGCAATTAAATGGATATTATGAAAAGGTAATTTCTTGCAAAGCACTGTGTGCTTTATGGCTCAACACATTCAAAATAATTAAAATATTACATCTGTCTTCAAAGAGTTTACAGACTTTGAGGATTTCTTATATAAACATATTTTTGTAATACAAATTAATAATAATTTATTAAGTACCTCATATATGCAGGATGAGACACATGCAAAAATACATTATTATTATATTAATAGATGTTTCTCTCAAAATTTGTTTAAGACTCTATAGAAAGGAATACACTAAATATTTTAGAAACTTTTCATTTAGAAGTTTACATATTGATTTTTAAATATATTAATATTAAAGTAAGGGTTTTATTTCCAATTGAAAGAAACTTGTAGAACACAGGTTGTACATAAATTGCAGTGTGTCATTGTATATAGTTTAGAAGTGGCACAGCAAGTTAATTAAGTGATGCTTAATTACTCCCATCAGTAATTGCATTTAAATATAAGCTTGTTTTCAGATAAATTTGAAATAATTAAAATCTGTATTTCACGAACTATATAATAGTAGCTTTTTTCAAAAGCCATTTAACAAGTTTACAAATATTTTGTTATAATTTGCTGAGAGTAATAAAATGAAAATCATATGGATTATTATGTTTCTTGGTCTCTAGAATGAATTGGGAAAAAAAGCTGGATTTTGATCTTGATCACAAAGTTCGTGTACACAAATCAGTTGTTTCTTGTCCTCTTCCTTGTGTTGGATATTATTGTAGTTATCAATAAAAATTCATTTTTTGGTGTTTGTTGGTTTTAGTAACAATGTAAGCTTCCACAGAACCAGTAAAATGTTCAGATGATCAGGAATGATTTTTGTTTCATTATGATTTGAATAAATTGAGTCGAACAATGAGACAGAATTGCTAACATTACTTAAGGTCAAAACAATAGGATGTAATTAGACTTTAATCATTTCTTTGCATACTATTGCAGTAGCTAGGAAAAAAAATTCACCATTATCCTGATGTTAATGACAATAAAACAATGTAAAATCTCCATGGTTTTGTATGAAAACCCTGATTATTTTTAGCTCATTTCTCAGTCTCTCTAAGGCAGCGGTGGGGAATGTCTGGCCCAAATGCTATAAAAGCCCAAGAAGTCATTTGGTGTGACTGTGCCAAGGTATTGCAGGTGGGACTCAAAATTCGTTAAATCAGGGAGCTTTTTTCATAACAACATACATTTATATAAAGTGAATGTTATAAATATCCAAATGGCCCTTGGCAGAAGAAATGTTCCCCATCCATGCTCTCACGCGAGTCAGAGGTGACACGTGAACTCATTTTTTGGTTGATTTTTCTTTGTTAAATGGTATTTAAATATATAAAATAAATATCAAAAATATAAATCTTTGTTTTACTATGGTTGCAAATATCAAAAAATTTCTATATGTGACACGGCACCAGAGTTAAGTTAGGGTTTTTCAAAATGCTGACACGCCGAGCTCAAAAGGTTCGCCATCACTGCTCTAAGGCATATCTCTCATCCTTGTGGTCCAAGATGATGGTTCATGTTTAAGCTTCCATGTTTCTAATTCAGCCAGCAGATTGGAGAAAGATGTGAAGAAGAAAGGAGGCATTGTCAGGCTCCAACCAAGTTTTAAATAAAGTTCTAGGAAGGCATTATAGAACATGTCCTAACTTAGTCCCTTGCTAATCTTACCTCCAAGATGAGCAGAGAAATGTAATCTTTATTTGGGGTGGCAACATGCATGGCTAATATTGTTCAGACTGTTACTGTGAAGGAAGAGGAGAATGGGTGTTGAGGATTCTAGATATCTTTGCATCCATCCTTATCACTCTACAAAAACTACATTCCCCAAAACAACAAATGAATTCCATCATGCTGTATGAGGGACTTGGAATTCAGAAGGAGAAAGGGAGAATGGCTACAAGGTGATAAGCTATAGGACCCTGGAGAGAAGAGGTGATCTTTACAATTTCTTTAAATGTGAGGTTTCAATGAGAAGTAGTCTAAAGATTATGTATTTGTTTTCTAGGGCTACTATAATAAAGTGCTGAGAGCAATAAAATGAAAATCATGGATTATAATTTAAGTGGCTTAAAACAAGTCATTTATTCTTTCACAGTTCAAGAGGCCAGTAGTCCAATAGCAAGGTAGCAGAAGGGTCTTGCTCCCTCTGAGACTCAGGGTGGAATCTGTCTTTGCTTTTTCCTTGCTTCTGGTGATGACCATTAATTCTTGGCATTCTTAGATTGTAGCTGCATCACCCCCATCTTTGCTTCTGTGGCCTCATGGCTTTCTCCCTACATATTCATATTGTGTTTTGCTCTTCTTAGAATGACATGAATCATATTGGATTAGGGCCTGCCCTAATATCATTATTTAACTTGATTACATCTACAAAGGCCCTATTTCAAAATAAGGTCACATTCACAAGTACTAGGGGTTAGGACTTCAATAAATCCTCTAGAAGGACCCAATTCCACTATTAAAAGAGTATTTCTAGAAAATGTGCTGTTTGGTGAGCTTTAGAAATCCAAACAAGAGAAGGTTGTGTTTTGTTTTTATAATGTGCTTATAATGTGATTAAAGGTCTACATTACTTTTCGAATTTTGGATCTAACTTTTGTTATTTTAAATGTGTCGATAGGCAAAAGCAGGCTTTAAGGTGGCCCTAATTATTAAAATATACACACCTAGAATTTTTTTCTTTCTGTACTAAATCCCATTCCATTGAACACCACATAGGATCATGACTACTTTGTCATTTCTGTGTACATGGCACACAAATATGTGTATGACATGATAACCAGGTTCTGTTTCCAGTGTCTTCAAAGTTTACACTTTATATCTTGCCTTAAATTTTGTATATCTATATCTATCTATATATCTATCTCTATATCTATCTCTATGTCTCTATCTCTATCTCTCTCTATCTCTCTATCTCTATCTCTATCTATCTATCTATTTATCTATCTATCTATCTATCTATCTATCTATCTATCTATCTATCATCTATATAAAAGCCTAAGTGACTGAATGACTGTTCGACCAGTCGCTATGTTGTGCCCTGAACACCAGGGGGCAGACGCTCAACATAGGAGCTGCCCCCTGGTGGTCAGTGTGCTCCCACAGTGGGAACACCACTCAGCTGACCAAAGGGCACCAGACGCAGGGCTCATGGCTGGAGAGTGCTGCTGCAGCAGCTCGAGCCTCTCCCAATCAGGACTGACTGGGCGCGAGCGGGGCCAGCATGAGCAGGAGCAACGGGCAGGAGTGGCAGGCAGTGTTGGACCACTGGTTTTGGCCCAGTCCCCGTAGGCCACGTTGAGGGACCCCACCCGTTCACGAATCTGTGCACCGGGCCTCTAGTATTATGTAACTTACTCAAAGAATATTTATTCACTATCTATTTTTAAACTTTATATATTATTATTATAAGATCCATAATAGAGTTTTTCAGTTCATTAAAGATTCAAATTGGCACATTCAATGGTATAGATTTTGTTCAGGCAAGTATATAAGCCATGAGAACTAAAGCCATCACTAAAACTCTGACTTCTAGAGGACAGAAAAGATATCAACACACACACAACCAAAAAACACACGTCTGTACACTCATGTGCTCACATTTGAACAGATTCAATAACCGTGCCCCCAAATATGGCAAACAAAGATCATTTATTAACAGTCCATTATATCTCAGCACATTGATGAATATATGAAGTAATGACCCTGTTTATATAAAAAGGTCAAATTTTATTATACAATCTTTTTTGTAGTATATTCTTATAAATGTTTCAATCCAAGTACTTATTATTTGTATTTTAAAAGGTAGTATTTTGAAGATTTAAAAACCCAAGTGTTAATTATGTAAAAATTGTATTCAGCTTATTTTGCAATAGGGAATATCATAGCCCATGGTCACAGATAATAGTGTGGTGAAGGCCTGGGAGGGGTGGGTTGGGGTTGGAGTGGGTCAATGGAAAAAAATACAAAAGGAGACATCTATAATACTTTCAACAATAAACATAAATTAAAATTGAAAAAAAAATGTTATTTTCATCATCTTTTGATTTTCATTTATTTTCATATGTAGAATGAACCCTGATAGAAAATAGGGTGAATTATAAGTCCAAAAGAAATTCTTGTTTAAATGAAATTAAATGTATTTACATGCTTTATGTGCTCATTAGAAGTGTGATTATTTAAATTTATCTCCTTGCTATGTGTTTCTATGGAACCTATGGCTTCTTACTTTGTCATTAACACATGCAACTTATGAATGAAAATATGTAATATTACTGATATGTGGAATAAAAGAAAGCTGATTCATAAAAACAGAAAGAAGAATGGTGGTTTCCAGGGGCTTTGGGGTAGGGGATATGGGGTATATGTTAGAGTATACACTTCAGTTATAAGATGAATCTGTTCTGGGCATCTAATGTGCAGCATGGTGATTATAAATAACAATATCAAATTATCTACTTGAAAGTTGCTAAGAGTAAATTTTAAATGTTCTCACCACAAAAAAGGTATAGTAACTGTGTGAGGTGGTGGGGGTGTTAGCTAGCTATTGATAATAAATTTGCAAATATCTATAAATGTATCAAATCAACATGCTGTACACGTTATACTTACACAATGTTATATCTCAATAAAGCTGGAAAAATGAAAGTACAGATATCAGTGTGTGGGTTATGGGTCTTAATGACATTTTAATATTTTAATTGGGGCCATTGTGGTAGTGTGTGGAATACAGAGTTGAGGGAGATGGTATTGTACTTGTCATATGAAGGTTATATAACTCCCCGTGTATCTTCTTGTCTTGGCAGTGTGTGCAGGAACAGAGAATAAGCTGAGCTCTCTCTCTGACCTGGAGCAGCAGTATCGAGCCTTGCGCAAGTACTATGAGAACTGTGAGGTAGTCATGGGCAACCTGGAGATAACCAGCATCGAGCACAACCGGGACCTCTCCTTTATGCGGGTACAGTTATCTCCTAACTCTTCTTTGCGAGCGAATAGTGGTGTCCCAATGCATAGTGATAGATCAGCTTGCTTGTATCTGATAGTAGTGCTCTTCTGGCCAGCAGGGACCATGTCTGTAGGCAGAGAGAAGAGATACCAAGACACACCCAGAGAGAGAACAAGAGTACTAGAAGCACTGCCATGGTGACTGGCACTCTGAGTTTAGAGCAGTTAACTGTTGCCCTAAGACTGATCAAGATTCTGCCAGGGTGTAGTGCATGCCATCTAGCAAGTCTGTCTTTGTCCTGAATTGCAGGAGAGAGGAAAACTAGGAGAGTCACGGGACTAATCAGATATTAATTGGTAACTTTAGGTAGTAATATCCTTTCCCACCCCTTTCTCTTTCATGTTGGAAATTTTAGATTATTTTATATTACTGTAATGAGACGATGCTGATTTTCAATCATTCTCCATAAGACATAGAATTTGCATTGCTTTTCCAGTGCTGGTAATAGACAGACACTATTTCATACTCACACACAGTTTCTCTTCTAAGGATAGATCTTTCAAAGAAATCAGATAAAGCTGTTACTCAGAGACTGTATGATGCTGATTGGCTCACTGTCACCTAAGACCTTGGCTTCATTAGCATGGTTTTCTTACAGTGAAATCAGGGATGGTACATGACAATAATGAGTTTCAAGTTGCAACAAGTAACCTCGCTTTTGCCTACCCCTTAGCTGTTTTCAGTAAGGATGAGCAGCCAGTCAGCTTTAATATAAAATTCTGAAATATTTCCATTTCAGCCTACATCAAAGCATCTGACTAGAATTAAATCCAACTGCATAGGGGGGTGGTTTTATATTTGTGTGTTTGTTTCCCTTATCCTCCTTGCTCACATTTATATCTATGCCTGGGCTAAGCTTTATGCTGCATAGCATGATTTAGCAAAACCCTATCTTGGAGAATTTATATTTAAAAGAAAATAGGTAATTTACAAAATACTTCATTCCTTTGGGTTGGAAAATGATGTATTGAATAGTTTGTGTAAACACCAGCTACCACTGCCTATCTGTGACTGTTTTTAGCTCATTAAATACCAGAGGGAATGACTTGTGTGGGAGAGATTTTGTTGGAGAGATGGAAAGAAAGCAGGATGAGAAAGGTTGTCATATTTTAGAGTCATTAAAAATAGGAAAGGAAACCACCATTTAAATGAAAGATCTGTGGCATAATAAGGTGGGTCCACATGTATTATATTCTCACACTTACATAAAAGATAATGCAGATAATGTAAGTGCAACATTTTCTAATACAGCATGTCTCTTTCAGCCGTGTACACATTTTCATTGGGAGAACAAGCCTGAATTTAAATTTTTTCTGAATAGCTTTGTGAGATAAATAAGTGGTACATTCATAACTCCGTTAAATGGCTGGCAAGGAAATAAGATTCCTATTTCAAGTATCTGCATTCTCTTACTAATTACTCATTGAGCACAATAGTCACCAATTGGAACAGATGTCAAGAAAGGACTATGAAGATTAACATTCAAAATCCTTAGAACTAATCTTCATTATGTTCAAAGAAACTTCACCTAAAAGAAATATATCAGTCAGGTAAACAGCATGAGAGTAGATAGGGTATTCCAATTTATATGTAATTCCTCTTTTTTGTCAGAATTTCATGTACAACTACATTTGTGCTGAAGTAGAACATATTTGCTGTATTTAGATGACAAAATTTTAGCTAGGTGCGATGGAGAATATTAAAAAGGAAGTAGAGAGAATACTATTTAAATATGTCTGTTGGGCCAAAGCAGACATTCTGAGTTAAATGGAATTTTCAAAGCCTTGATAGTTTCTGAAAGTTGTTCCTAAGACTGTTAGACAAATACATATGCAATTTTGTATGTATGTATTTACAGCTGGTTTTTAAATTGAAACTTGTTTATTTTTTGTACTAAATCTAATCATAGAACTTGTGTTACATTTGAAAAAGCTATGCAATTTACACTTATCCTAGGGAAATATATTTTTCCTCAGAGGTTAAATACCATTTCATCTGAAAATATACATTGATTAAAAATTCTGATGCTCTTCAGCAATCCTACATGATAAACCAAAGGATGAAATGTTTCCGAGTCAGCGTGGATCAGTGGTTGAGCGTAAATCAGGAGGTCATGGTTGGATTCCTGGTCGGGGCACATGCCAGGGTTGGGGGCTCAATCCCCAGTGTGGAGTGTGCAAGAGGTAGCCTGTTGGGGTCCAGCCCCAGCAGGTCCAGGGGTTCCCCAAGGTGTGGACGGAGTCGGTGAAGAAGGAATGACACGGAAGCAGCGTTCAGTTGATCAGCAGAGCAAGGTTCTCCCTTTCATTGTCCTGTTACATCTATATTTATACTATTTGATCCCATAAGCATGCCTCTATAATTATATCATGGTATGTTTTGGGTAACATTCTACAGTTCCTTGTTTCTTATCTGACCTTTGCCAAAAATCCTGTCTCTATCTAGTTCTGTTGATTTTAATCTTGTCTAGGTTAATCTCTGTGTTCCATTACAAGGGCTATTCCAAGGTCACTGCTCTACTAATAGGCTACAAGGAAGTGATTGAAGGAGATTATCCTATCGAGTAAAGGTTATGTCCTCGCAGCCTCATTGCTTGCCTTCCCTGGGACTGCCCTGTGTCGGTGGATCTTCAGGGGTATAGGCTTTGGTGCTTTCCTTGGTGGGCAGACCCCTAGGGATGTGGGCCCAACAAGTCCCAAATTTATTGCCAACAGTCTTAGTCCAAGTTCTTCATAAGTAGTACATGGTATTTCTGTAACTCTAGGGGGATTTACTGATTTATTCTCTTCCTTAGTCCTATTAATCCCTAACCTGGGGAAACAACCTTTCTCGGGGAGGTGGTCCTGTTTAAAACACATAGTGCTAAGAGGGGGAGCAAACATATGCCATATACGCCAGGTCCCTTGAAACATAAGCTGTGCAGATGTTTCTTCCCAGCAGCGACTGTGTCAAGCAGCAAGGGTGGACCAGCTTCCGGCAGTAGCCAATCAATGATTTTCATCAATGTTTCCCTCTCTTTAAATCAATAAAAACAGTCCAGCTAGTGGTCCTCAGTGGTTGAGCATCAACCCATGAACCTAGAACCAGGAGATCTCGGTTCATTTCCAGTCAGGGCATATGTCTGAGTTGCAGGCTCAGTAGCTGTGCAGATGTTTCTTCCCAGCAGCGACTGTGTCAGGCAGCAAGGATGGACCAGCTTCCGGCAGTAGCCAATCAATGATTCTCATCAATGTTTTCCTCTCTTTAAATCAATAAAAACAGTCCAGCCAGTGGTGCTCAGTGGTTGAGAATCAACCCATGAACCTAGAACCAGGAGATCTAGGTTCATTTCCAGTCAGGGCACATGTCTGAGTTACAGGCTCAGTCCCCAATGTGGGATGTGCTAGAGGCAGCTGATCAATGATTCTCTCAGCATTGATGTTTCTATCTCTCTCTCCCTCTCCCATCCTGTCACTGAAATTGATAACAATAGAAAAATTAAATGTCTATATTATTGATTTGGTAGTTATATAAATATATTTTAAAAGGACTTTATTCTTAACCATTGAAATGAAATATTAAAGTGTATTCAACAATTTCTCTTTTATTAAAAATATATAACAAATTCAGTAGTACCTACAAAATATGTACATCTATTAGAAAATAAATATTTGAGGAAGCATTGGATAGGATAGTTATAAGAAATATATCAATATAATTTATAATTTTAACATATAAAAATATACATGCATGCAATATAAATATAAATTAGTGACCATATATACTTATATATGTAAATATTAATTAGCTACATTTTTCTAGGATTAAGTCAAATTATTATAACCATATATGTTTCTAGGAGAATATTAATAAAAGTAAAATTGCTTAATAGAAGTTTTTTAAGTCCCTAAATTGTAATGCACTTCCAGAAAACAATGCCCTTGTTGCAAATGTACTTAAATTAGAAATGAATTTATTAGGATACTGAACAGATGCAAAGTGTTCCTTTATACCTCTGGGGGTTGTATTATTTAAATTTGGCTTAAATGTTGAGTATAATGATTTTATAGGCTTTCATTAACCTTAATTAGAGAAAAATGCAGGTAACAAGCCCACTTCACTCCATGATTCTTAGATACTCTGATCTGGGGAATTGGGTATATAATGGTTATTTCTTCACCTCTTTTATATGTAAGTAGCAAAGACTTTGGTTCCAAGAGAGAGAATAAATGATAAGAGACTAAATAGAAGCATTTGGACAATGGGATACTATTTACTTCTAAAATCCACATACTGGAATATAATTAAATAAAACCTTTCATAAAAATCATACTTATGTACATTTTATTAGCTTTATTTTTCTGTCTTAAATGAAGCATCTTATTTTCTTTTAAAAAAAGGACAGACAAACTTGACAAACAGTTTTATATAAGATCAAATCAGTTTTAAAGGTCTCTCTTTAATCACAAAGAGTATAATTTAAAGTTCAAGAGTGGAAAAATAAAATGTGAAATCTGTTGCATTTAGAAACACTGCAATTATTTATCCTGATCCCTAATTTGAACCCACTTAACTATAAAATATTTTATTTAAATATATAATGAGAGTGATAAAAATTAAGATATTTGTTTTAGTAAATATAAGCATCTTTGAAATCATTTCTTTTAAATTTCTACATGGAAATCAAAATATCTACTTGAATGTTGAAGTAAATTCTCTTATTAATTCATTGCCATACTTGTTTCTCAAAATTAAAGTTTTTATCATGGTTCCTGGCACTTCGTTGAACCTTAGTAAAATCTGGCTTTATTAACGCTATTGTTTTTTTTCCTTCCTTCTTTGACTCCCAAGGCGGTCACTATTGAGCAAGGTTCTGACGACTTCACAATGCATTTTTACAAAGCTTTTTAGAGGTTCAGCTTTTGGGTGGTAGTGATTTTGCATTTTCAGAGAGGTGAAATTGCAAGGCAAAT